AACCTCACCAGTGGATAACCTCGCGCCGGATGATCCGATCATCACCATAACACACTTGAGACATGCTTAAGGGTCCCTGTGTGTGTGTGTGTGTTTGTGTGTGTGTGTGTGTGTGTGTTTGATGTGTGGGTGGAACGGCTTTCTGCTGGGACTCCTGGGTGAGACTGTGGGCCCTTGTCCTGTGGACCTCTGGCTATGACTGGGACTCTTCTGGTGTGTGTAGATGCATAAGTGTCTTCGTGTGAATGGGGGGGGGGGAATCTCACCTACAGAGGCAGTATTAGGGTTGGGTCTCACCTACAGAGGCAGTATTAGGGTTGGGTCTCACCTACAGAGGCAGTATTAGGGTTGGGTCTCACCTACAGAGGCAGTATTAGGGTTGGGTCTCACCTACAGAGGCAGTATTAGGTGATCAGCTAAAGAGCTGATCACACGAGTGAACAGCTCGTGTAAAGGGGGGTGTGTGAGGTGGCCACGAAGTCAGATATGTGTAAAATAGGAGAGAGGAGCCTAGTCGCTAACATTACCAGATTTTCATAATTTACATCCACCGTCAGAATCACAGAAACTCACAGAGGATTAACAACTAGAAGATGTATCCAGAATCACAGCATAGAACATATTCAACTCACAGCGCACCAGTCACAGAACATGGAACAGGTTCAACTCACACTTCACCAGACACAGAACATGGAACAGGTTCAACTCGCACTTCACCAGTCACAGAACATGGAACAGGTTCAACTCACACTTCACCAGTCACAGAGGATGGAATACATTCAACTCACAGTGTGTGGAATTAGCAGCAGCTCACATGTGGCAGCGGTCGGACGTGCTGTATCTATGGATATAAGCAAGCGTGTGAATTTCCAACTAAGTGAGGCAAAATGTCAACAACCTGTTTGGATTTAGGATGGAGTTCAACACGACAAGAGCGCCATTGTCCGGGCGTCCGGAAGAGTGATTTTAACACTTTAAATAAGAAAAGTTATACGCTTGTGGCTCGTCGCTCACTGCTGTAAACACCAGTGCATGTCGCTGGTCAGTGATCAGCTGGTGAAGACTCGATCAGCTGTCCAGAGGATAGTAGAACCTTCCTCGGTGATCAGCTGGTGAAGAGTTTGTTTTTAACAACATACTTAGGTACATATAGATTAATGCAGCTGCGCTAGACTATATGAAAGGGTTACATATTAAGGGCTACATATCAAAGGCTACATATCAAGGAGTTACATATCAGAGCTATCTTCATGATGCTAAAAAATACCAATCTTACAAGATAGTTAACCATACAAAACCATGTGATTAGTAGCCCGCACTTGCAGACTTTGGATGCTTTATGAGAAAAAGTCAGTAGCAGCAATGAGAAGGATTAGAACTTGCACACTGGGTACCCAATATACAAGTTCGAATCCTACACATGGCTCCTATTGATTCTCTCATTGATACATGAGAAAATCAAGAAAATTGATACATGAGAATGTTAATGTGATTTCTTTGTGAAGTATGAGAGATACTCTTTTCCCCTAACAGACCTGAATGTTTAGAGCAATATTATCTTAGCAACAGAGATGGGGATACCCAGGTCTAGTTCAACTTCATTCTTGTTGCATGTCTGTGTCATCATAGTAAGTTTGTATGAGATGGTTTCCACACAAAAGGTATTCTAATCTCTTTATTCCGTACAGTACGTTATATATAGTTTATTATTGTGAGATTCTTGCTACCACTCAAGCAGTTTTCAAGCGCTCGAAGAGCAGACTCTGAATCCCAGTAAGTTATTCCTCATCCAGTGTGGTTAAGTGTACAGGTAACTAGTTCTCTCAGTGAAGCCCGTTGTTTGATTTGACTCTTAGTCTGTGTACAGGTATTATTGCTATAAAACCCTTCGGTCTGCTGCAGTTTGCTGTGTAACAGCCTAATTGGCAGGCCATTGGTCGGTGTAGACTTAACGCTCGTGTGTGCTTAGATCTTAAGAGCAATTGCAATGGCAATTGTTGCGAGTGTGACAGCTTTATGAAGAGCAAAATCATCATTTTTGTTCATGGCGATGAGTGTGTTGATACTTGGAGGGTGGAGTAGAGGTAGATAAATGGTTCAGTCACAATAACACACACACACACACACACACACACACACACACACACACACACACACTGGAAGACAGAAGAGTAAGGGGGGACATGATCACAACCTACAAAATCCTCAGGGGAATCGACCGGGTAAACAAGGATGAACTTTTCAACACTGGTGGGACGCGAACAAGGGGACACAGGTGGAAGCTGAGTACCCAAATGAGCCACAGAGACGTTAGAAAGAACTTTTTCAGTGTCAGAGTAGTTAGCAAATGGAATGCATTAGGAAGTGATGTGGTGGAGGCTGACTCCATTCACAGTTTCAAATGTAGATATGATAGAGCCCAATAGGCTCAGGAATCTGTACACCAGTTGATTGACGGTTGAGAGGCGGGACCAAAGAGCCAGAGCTCAACCCCCGCAAGCACAATTAGGTGAGTACAATTAGGTGAGTACACACACACACACACACACACACACACACACATCAGTGACATCACACATCACACATCAGTAGAAGTACATTTATAAGGTACTAACCAAACCACACACTAGAAACTGAATAGACGACGACGTTTTGGTCCATTCTGGACCATTATCAAGTTGACGACGTCGTCTCTTCAATTTCTAGTGTATGGTTTGGTCTCCTTTTTTCAGCCACGTTATTGTGACTCATCATCTGCATTTATAACGTATGTTCAGCTTAATGAAATTGTTGCCATGTTGACTCAACCATTTATCATACATGAGCCGAGCTGATGTGTCCCCACCACTCACAGGTGTAGTTATGGATCAACAAATAGTTTGACCTGACCATTGTGACCTGACTTTTAAGAGGACGGGTTAAGCCGGACGACTCAAACAGAAAACGGAACAGTATGTCACTTTTGTGAGTCGATTTCATTTCAAATTACGTCCAAATTTGGCCATAGCGCGCATACGAGCCAAAAGTGACGTTATTTTTAAGAGGACGGGTTGTATCAAGAGTATTGCGGAGCCTTCACGACCAAAACACCCATGTTGACCCTGCCGTCGTAGACTACAGATTAAAGTATCCAGTGAAACGAATCCTAATCGAATTTAATCTCAGCACATCAAACTTGAATCAGCATTTATGCTCGTCCGGAGAGCAAACATATATCTAGGATGGATTCATGAAATTTGTGGAACAAACAGGAACGGATTGTCTGAAATCTTGAACATATATATATGCTAACTGATAGCAAGAGCAAGGAACAGTTGACCAGACCACACACTAGAAGTTGAAGGGACGACGACGTTACGGTCCGTCCTGGACCATTCTCAAGTCGATTTAGAATGGTCCTGGACGGACCGAAACGTCGTCGTCCCTTCACCTTCTAGTGTGTGGTCTGGTCAACATACTTTAGCCACGTTATTGTGACTCGTCGCCTGCAGCAAGGAACAGTACTGTGAGCTCTGGCATATATATGCCTGTAGCGCATTCCTCACTATTTAATATCGGCTACAACACCCCCATAACAACCCGTGAATCGGGTCTTGGGAACCTGGAATACGGTTTAAATGGAGCCCTCTTTTCCCATATTTCTGAAACAGATACTACAGTACATAGAGAATTTGATGCATCACGTTAGTGTGATCTCTGTCTGTGATGAGACCCCGAGCTTCGAAGATCTGCTAGGTAGAGAAGTCTGGACTCGTCTCTATGTCAGTAACTTCACATGTCATGCTGGTGATCTCTTTACACTTACACATTTCAGACCATATTGGCTTTGTTGGTCAATAGTTATTTACCGTAGATACACGCAAGGTGAGGGGGAATAGGTGAGCGGTGAGCCGAAACACGTGTCAAATCATTGAGAAATGGACTGACAAAAAAAAAGTTCCTGGAAAGGCAGGCAATCAGGATTGAGAAGTGGATGACGTTGAGATTGATCAGTCTAGAATATAGCTTCAGCAATCCTTGCCGCGACGAGGCCGTCACACTTGCAGTTTCTGGATAAAGTGGATGTCAGATCCATCTCGGTGTCCTCTTGCTGCTCCGAGAGAAGCTGAGATAGCAAATCGTCGTTGAGTTGCGTTCGTCAAGCAGCTGCTGAGTCAACAGAGTCTACTGAAGCATGGCTGAACCTCTCGTTGTATAGCAATGTGTTTCTCGTCAACCTCTCGTAGACTACGTGCGTCTGTTCAACCACACACGTGATCAGTCACATACATTCAGCCACGTGTCGGTTTAACTACACGACTATTTTATCTGCACAGAACCTAAGGCAGCGTGAATCAGTGACAACACTCCAGACAAGCACCTATGTATTAAAGACATTAACATTCACTGGTACACAATATCAATATCTTGGAGTATAGATTCTAAAATGATATTCAACAAGCAAATTTAATATGTGAAGAATAAAGCAAAGTCAAAATTGAATGTAACGAGAGCAATCACAGGGCCCCGTTTAGGAGCGGGACACGAAAGTGTTAAGAATGCTTTACATACACGTCGTTCGTTCCCTAGTTGATTACCCAGCGCCTGTCCTACTTATTCAAAACGATGCAATGCGAGTCATAACAGAGGCTCCCAGGTGGGCTAAAATATTAAGCCTAAGGCTAGGAACCAAACTAACATCGGTTGAAATAAAGGTAAAAGGGTTTGTTGCCTGCTGACCAAGATACTGACAAGTCCAAGAATCAGTTCACTAAAAGATATATTTAATGGAGGACTAAATTGGGACAGAAGAGCTTCCAATAGCAACAGGTGAATCCATTGTGCAATAAACACTATCAATACATTCGAGATCACAAACACAATCACTGAGAGGGGTGTCGATACACACAGACCTTGTTATTCAAGCCCCTTGGGAATCGTTGCTAGCAGACTTTTAAGATTACGGCTCTTCAAGGAACCAGATTCTTCCCCATTTGTTACGCATCATTGCTTAGATGAAAATGGAAGCAAACTTGGTATCTGACAGCTTCATATACTTCACAGATGGATCAGTAGACCAGCAGAGACGTGAATCTGTATCTGTAGTTAAGGTAGAAAATTCTAAACTTAATTGGAGACTCGCAAAACGCTGGTTGAGCTTTACAACAGAGATGTTGGCCATCCAAAAGGCTTTGGTACATGCTCTTGCTGAACATCAACATGTTATCATCAACATCAACATCAACATATCTTACATACAGATCCGAGAACTGCCGTTGAAACCTTGCAACAAAAACATTTATATGACAACATCCATCTGACCACAAATTAATGCAAACACTCAAACGCCAAGGTCGCCGAGTACATATGAACTGGATGCCAAATCATGCAGGAATTCCAGCAAATGACATTGCAGATGAAACCGCAAAATTTGCAATTAAGAGGAGGGAATGTAGACATTTACATACCACAAAGTCTAGTGCAGATTAAGAAAATAATTAGAGATGGAGCTATGTAGATGAACAGCCACTATAAGGCAGCAGCAGGAGCTGCCAGTTAGTACAAATCTTCAACCAACTACAAACCACTTATTCTGATGGACAGGTAAATAGAAAATCAAAAGTACACTTAAAATCAGAACTACACTTACATCATGCTTGCTTGACCAGGCCACACACTTGAAAATGAAGGGACGACGCTGTTTCGGTCCGTCCTGGACTCAAGTCGACTGTCTTGTCATTCTCAAGTCACAATCGACTTGAGAATGGTCCAGGACGGACCGAAACGTTGTCGTCCCTTCACTTTCTAGTGTGTGGTCTGGTCAACATATTTCAGCCACGTTATTTTGACTCATCGCCTGCACATTATGCTTGTATGGTATACATGGGGGAATACGCTGACAGGTTCCAGAAGACGAGAGGAAATGTCAGCACTGTGGAGACATGCCCGACAGACCACTGGAACATTATCAAACAATGTGTAGATTTACCAGCACAGAAGAAGTTGGTAAATACACTGGACAAAATATGACTGAAGCCAATATAAGAACAAAGGTAATTGCAGAAGGCATATTGGCCCATACGAGGCAGCTCCTGTTTATAACCACCCAATCCTACTCATATACATGTCCAACCCACGCTTGAAACAATCGAGGGACCCTACCTCCACTACGTTTCGTGGTAATTGGTTCCACAAATCAATAACCCTGTTACCGAACCAGTATTTACCCAAGTCTTTCCTAAATCTAAACTTATCTAACTTATACCCATTGTTTCGCGTTCTGTCTTGTGTTGATACTTTTAATACATACTTACTAGTCATAAATACTCATCTACCGCCTCCTAAGACAGAAACGAGTAACACTTAGTGGGCCAGCCAGAGGCTTAGGCCGCGCGCAGGAATATCCCGACTTGGCGCTTTCCCCTGATAATTTCCTTCCTTCCTTATAAACAAGCTATGAGAACTTATGATCGCTATCACCAACTTAATTATTTTACGGATTCTTGCTCCTTACAAGAAAACATTATTGATACCTTTCATTCCATGTTAGAATGAACTTTTTTTTCAAACATTTAATGAAAAACTTCATCAGTCAATTGGAAATACAGTTATTGCTGTCTCTGATGACAGAAAAATAGTATTTAATTGTGTAATTATACCGCCCAATTTTTATTTAGCTCTAAATATGTTAATAAAAGTCTCGGATATATACGCTTTTGTACCATCTATTGTAACTGGAAATTTGAGAATCCTTCACAGGACCAAACCATGCATGAATATGCGCCAGTCATACAGAATGAAAGGAACTGATGTTCCACCTGTATGAATTCAGAGGATTTGTCGCCCCTTCCTGCACACGCTAGGGGCGCTCAAGCTGTCACTGGAATATTAACTAAAGATTGATATTGCTGTTGTTCAGCGAGGGGGTGAGATGCCGGGTCGTAGGGCGGGCTGTCCGCCGGATGGATTTAAGATAATGAAAAAGAACGCAAGTCCACAAGGGCTGTGACGAGGATTCGAACCTGCGTCCGGGAGCATCCCAGACACTGCCTTAATCGACTGCCTGAATCACTACACTGCCTGTGTAATGAAAAAGAACACAGTTCGCCCCTAATCCGGCGCAAAATCGCTTAGTTACGACTCAAAAGTAAAGGGACTTTTTTTTTTCCTGACATCCGCATATGTGAGATTTCTGTATTAAAGAAAAAATACTGTATTAATAAATGATGTAGAACCTAGCTTTACTTCTAACCTCACCTTCTTAACCTAACCTAACCTCAACTCATTTCTCCTCTGATTGATTGATTGATTGATGATTAAGCCACCCAAGAGGTGGTACGGGCCATCTCTTCTAACTTCACCCCTTTTTTTCCTATCCTAACTCCACCTAACCGAACATAACATAGCCTCACCTCACATCTACTTAGCTAACCTAACCTAACCTAACCTAACCCAACCCAACACAACCTAACCCAATCAAAGTCTCATCTAATACTATGCATTAGAACAGGAAACAACTATTTTTTCCAAGCTAGAATCGTCGGCATCTAACAACAACATCAACTCATAAATGAATGATGCGGATTAAATTTTGAACCACCAAATTCAGGCTTAAAACCAAAATAAATTCTAAAACTCAACCAGCGGAAAGACGTCAAAGAACTGAATTGCTCTGATATATGTAACTTTCTTCCTAATGGAGAAAACAAGTGAACAACATTCATAAATCATGTTAAGGAGAAAATGAAAATCCACAAGGGCCGTGACGAGGATTCGAACCTGCGTCCGGGAACCTGTTCTCTGTGTGTGTGTGTCATGTTAAGGAGTATATAATGGCCTCCTTCGCAAGGTGTAGATTACAAGGAGCTGATGATTAACAGGCTGGTTCCTTAGGAAAAGATTTATCCTATTTTAAATGATTTCTCATCGTTTTGTTGCATTCGTTACTAGTGATCTCGTTGTTTGCGTCGCGGTCTCGTTGGTGTGGTACAGATAACGTTGATGTGGCAAGGACCTCGTGATTAATGCATTAGTTTCATATCAATCAATGATTATTAGTATTAAGTCTTGTCTTAAAAGCTAGGACCATTAGTAACTAATTGCCAGATATTAACCTAACTAATTTCAAAGCACTATATGTACTCGCTAAATATTTGTAATTTATATATATATATCATCTTCGTAAAGAGAATATCATCGTAACTGTAGCTGCATTAGAACAACGATGTTTCCCTTTAAATAACTCTAAATAACGTATGTGATTTAAATTCAAATTAGATAATTACGACCTGCATGCATATATATGTACAGAAATTGCAGCCTACGTACATATGAAAGATGACCAACTCCAATGCAGAGTATAAACAGACTTTGTAACGTAATCAGTTAACAAAATACAAGAAAATAATCAACCTACTACGAAGCTACAGCAACTGTAATGAAAGCAGGTCTCGACCCAATCTGACAAAGCCATTCCAGGTTATCCACTCATTCCAGGTCAACCAATCATTCCAGGCCAACCAATCATTCCAGGCCAACCAATTATTCCAGGTCAACCAATCATTCCAGGCCAACCAATCATTCCAGGCCAACCAATTATTCCAGGTCAACCAATCATTCCAGGTCAACCAATCATTCCAGGCCAACCAATCATTCCAGGCCAACCAATCAATCCAGGCCAACCAATTATTCCAGGCCAACCAATCAATCCAGGCCAACCAATTATTCCAGGCCAACCAATTATTCCAGGCCAATCAATCAATCCAGGCCAACCAATCAATCCAGGCCAACCAATCAATCCATGCCAACCAAATCTTCATCTGGAAGTACCCCAAATGTAAACATTAAATTGGCAGATGTAAACAACCAATGGAAATATCTCCAGTATTTCAGGGAAAATAAATGTAAACAAGACAGCCACTGGATGTCAACAAGCCACCAGGAACCAATTACCTTGGGATATCAGGCGCGGATTCCACCCATCCCCGTTGCAAGTCCATCGATTTGGGTGTTTTTTGGACTTACAAGCGCGCTATGGTGATGAAGTCTGAGGCTAACGAGGAATAATTTGTTTGTGTATCCGTCACTGTACGTCACACTGGCACTGTATCTGCGTATTTGTGGGAGTTTGCTTGTACGTATTTTATATTAATATATAAGATGGAGGTTATATAAGGGTTCAGAAGGGTCAAAGGAGATGTGTTATTAAATACGAAAGTACTTAAGGATATTCCTGTTTCAGTTCTTCCTTTGTGGTCTGACACTGTCATAGTTTTCATCACGTGTTAATTTTCGTGTTTTACACACACACACACACACACACACACACACACACACATATATATATATATATATATATATATATATATATATATATATATATATATATATATATATATATATATATATATATATATATATATATATATATATATATATGTCGTACCTAGTAGCCAGAACGCACTTCTCAGCCTACTATGCATGGCCAGATTTGCCTAATAAGCCAAGTTTTCCTGAATTAATATATTTTCTCTATTTTTTTTCTTTTGAAATGATAAAGCTACCCATTTCATTATGTATGAGGTCAATTTTTTGTTATTGGAGTTAAAATTAACGTAGATATATGACCGAACCTAACCAACCCTACCTAACCTAACCTAACCTATCTTTATAGGTTAGGTTCGGTTAGGTAGCCGAAAAAGTTAGGTTAGGTTAGGTAAGGTAGGTTAGGTAGTCGAAAAACAACTAATTCATGAAAACTTGGCTTATTAGGCAAATCGGGCCTTGCATAGTAGGCTGAGAAGTGAGTTCTGGCTACTAGGTACGACATATATATATATATATATATATATATATATATATATATATATATATATATATATATATATATATATATATATATATATGTGTGTGTGTGTGTGTGTGTGTGTGTGTGGCCCACATAGCCAGCACAACCCGGTTGCTCCGGTACTTCTAACAGGATGTTGGTCAGTTGCTTCATGAAGTACTTCACCTTTGTTCCGGTAATATTTGTTTATGCTTGCTGGGAGGGTGTTTAACAGCAGTGGACCTCTGGTGTCCATACAGGAGTCTCTAATTGTGTCTATGGCACCCCTACTACTCACTGGTTCTATTCTGTATTTTCTTCCGTATCGTTCGCTCCACCATGTTTTTTTTTCTTACAGTGTAAATTTGG